GATGGGGATTAAGAAGCACAAAACTTCCAGTTAAAAAATAAACCACAAGGATGTAATGTACAGCATAGGGAATATAGAAAATAACGTTGTAATAACTAAAGGTGGCAGATGGTTTCTAAACTTATTGTAGTGATCACATAGTAAGGTATATAAATAAGGAATTTCTATGCTGTACACCTGAACCTAATATAGTGTATTCATTTCAATGAAAAACGAATTTTAAAAAATAATCTTAGTGTCAGTTCTACTTCGCTATCTTACTCTCTAACAAATGTTTTGATATCTCCTATTGGCTCTTTTCTACTTTTTACAGTGTATCTGGAAAAAACAAACAACTAACATTCCCTAAGGCATTTCCCCTACTTAGCCAAGAGCTACTTCAAGTTTCAGTTCCTACAATCTGCTAATTATTGAAAGGGAAAGAAAAAGATGAAAAAAGTAAATGTTGGAACTGTCCATCTGAGAAAAAGAAAAATCCATGTTGATTCCACAGAGTTTAGACCCGTCAGTGAAACATCGAAGAGAATGTGAAGACTGGCATCCCCTTGCTATTATAATGCCACTTCTCTTAAAAGAGTAGAGATTTTTCCCTGTGGCTTGGCTCGTTTGGAGCAACTTCCAGTGCACTGAAGGGTCTCTTGATTCCCAGTCAGGGCACATACCCAGGTTGCAGGTGTGATCCCCAGTTGAGGGGCATACAGGAGGCAACTGTGCAATGTTTCGCCCTCACATAGATGTCTCTCTCTCCCTATTCCTTCCTCTAGGTCTGAAGTCAATGGGGTGGGGGTGGGGGTGGGGGGGAGAAATTTCTATTTAAACTTAGAAAACCTAAGTTCTTGACTCAGTATAAGGGACAGATCCAGAAAAAGTAAAAGAATTACTAAAAATATGTTTGGAGGGATGCTTCACATGGAATCTCAGGGACACCTATTGGAAGGAGAGAAACAACTTTAGAAAAGATTAGCAATAATCAACAAAATTAGAGTAAATTTCCATACATACAGAGAGTTACAGGAACATATGGGATATAACAGTTTCAAATTGTTTTTCAAACACCTTCTTTTATGCTGACTTTGCAAATGGAGTTTTAATTTCTCCAATAGAGCATTCTCCTGTTAATAAAAGTCTATGTGAAGAAACTAATAATAGGATTTTAACCTGAAAAAATGAAAATTTATATAACATTATTGGCATTTAAAAAACAAACAAACAAAAAACACAGTAGCTATAGTTTAGAACCATATATAATTTATTAGCAACAGTTCTTCAAACTTTTAAAAACATATTATTACCACTAAGAATAATTTTGGTAAATTTCCACTTAAATGTTGCACATTTCAAAATGTTCAATCAAGAAAATGATATGCTTACAAATGCAACAATCACAGAAAGAGGTTTAGCAACCCCAAGTTAATGATGCTGAACTAAAGAACCACTCAAAGTTCTGGAAGGCTGTTTTTACACATTTTCCCACTCCAGCAACATCTTGTTCACTTAACCTGGATGCTTCTAGTTCTGTGGAAGAGAGAGCTTAGAGCAGTGTTTTCCTGGGTGTGGTCTTGGATCACCTGTCACTGACTCACCTAGGATACTTGCTACAAACACAGATTCCAACACACCATCTCCAGAAATCCTAAGTCAATGGCTCTAATGAGTCCAGATAGCTGAATGTTAATAATGGCCTTGGAGACAGTAATCTATCTCTCTTCTTCACATGATGCCATTTAAATCTAAGGAGATTAACTTAATTACCTGAGCCAATTAACAGCAGATGAATGAAAACCCAGAACTGGCACCGCCCAGTCCAGTCTTCTTTGTTCTAAATGCCCTCCCAAGCTTCTTTTGTAATAGCCCATCCACAGATGCTGCAACAGCTACCCTTCCCCCTCTATCCTCCGTTTACTCTCTCTAGTCACCTCCAAAGTACATTAGTAAAACTATGTACAAATAGAGAAAAGGGAAGTGAAAACTGTTCATGTTAGGGTGGTGTAAGTCAATGTTCTTTATTTTTTTTATTCTAGTCAAACTGTAAGATATGTGGGCAATAAATTCACTGTCTTAAATTTTTTTTAAGTAAAAATAATTAAGCTTGGATACATGGATCTAAATGAGAGCAGACACAAATGAAAATACAGAATCAACACCCCTGACATTCTTATAAGTTTTTTCCATCATCTTTTAAAAAAAAACCCACAAGATTCCTTTGTATAGTGCGTGTATAAAACTTTTAGAAGTTAAATCAAACTATTTTATTATCTTTTAGTGCTTTTCCTAAAACACTAGCTTAAAGCCCTGCTCATTCAGAAGAAAGACACCTTATTTAGCATGTCACCCAAATTTTTCACACAATTTGCTAAACCATGTGAGTAAACCAATGGGCAACTCTCCCCTGGGGGAATAGCATGCCCTACGGTGTAAAAATAAATACAATTGGAAGAGTATGTCAAGGCCTAAACATAGAGGGCCATCCTTACTTTATCCAGCCAGTCTTTAGCCAACTAGTTATTTAGACTAAGTCCCTTAAGACCTGGCTTCTTGCAACATGATGAATCTGATATAATTTTTTTAAAAGAGCACACATACGAGCAGTAATATGCACTTTGCAAGGATGCGTGTCTATGTTTGTGTGTAACATTCACATATGTTAATGCATTAAAAAGGACTTGAAATATACATCCATCAAAAATAGGTTTACTGTCCTGCCAGTGTAGCTCAGTTGGTTGAGCATCGCCCCATGCACCAAAAAGTCACCAGTTCGATTCCGGGTCAGGGCACATGTCCAGGTTGTGGGCTCAATCTCTGCAGGAGGCAGCCAATCAATGTTTCTCTCTCATTGATGTTTCTCTCTCTCTCTCCCCCCCCCCCTTCTTCTCTCTCTAAAAATCAATAACATATTTGTTAAAAAAGAGGTTTATTTCTCAAAAGATGAGGAGGGGTCCAGTATTAATGCTTTAATTTTACGGAGAATATACTCATTATTTGTGTACATGGAAGTGTTCTAATTCTCGGACTTCATTAGATGCCCATTTCTGCACCTCCCTGTAACTCCTACACAAGCCTGACAGAGCACTGAGCTCACCATCTATCATGGACACTGGTCTTCTCTGACTTTTCCTCCTGGAAGACTTGTGTCCTCCTGTCAGCACATCATTTTCCGAGTGCCTGGCATGGTATAACGCTTACTGAATGCACACTGTGAACCTTCCAGGCAACTAAATTATTCAAGGAAAGAATCTCCCTCTATTTCTAAAAGGTCACAGGCCACAAATTTTCTTTTCAACATACAGTTTAAAAAGATAGTTTGCTATAGCGGCTAAGAAGCTAGACTTAGAGTTACAAAGTTCTGGTTTTAAATTAAACTCTGCATAATGAATTGAAATCCTTACCAAGTTACTTAATCCTCATTTTCCTCAGCTATAAAACATGAATAATAATATCTTCCTCCCATATTTGTGGGTAAGATTAAAGGGAATATTTATAAATTAATTAGCACAGTAGCTGGTACTCAACAAATGGTAGTCATTATTATCCCTTTTTTATACTCAAATGCTAATGTTAAAGCAAAAATTTCAGATATTTCTTGCTAATCAGAAAATATCAGTAAAACCTTAAAAGCATTGTACTTTACTTCTAGAGAATAACAAACTCAGATATTCTAACGAATGTAAGCAATTAAACTAATAATTTGAAGCCCATCAGGTCTGTGCAACTAACAGATGAATACCTCAATTACTGTGTGGTACTCATTTAACAAAGAAACTTCCATACTGATCTATGCAAATTATGCATTTTTAACCACCATTCCAATAAGAAAAGTTTTAATCATCTTACTTCACAAACGGAAAATGTTCACATTGAGTTCATACATATTATTAAGCTGCACATCACTATTCTTGAGAAATAGGCTAACTATCCAAGTTATTAATATGCCAACAGTGTTCAACTGATGCTGTCCACAGTTAATTGGCTAAGAAATCTTATCCCAAAAAATGTAATGAGTAAGTTAGCACTGAAGTTCCAGAGGATGCCTTGGATAAAGATCTAGAGTTCATGTGCTTTGAAACTATTTGTTTTGAGTTGATTTCACTCTTTTTGTTATGAAAACAGTCAGCATTCATAGTTCACAATATCATAACCCATTATACTGTATTATACAATGAGTTCATTTTAGATCAGCTATCCAAAACATACCATTTAATTCCACAAATAATTACTAAGCATTTAATATATTCTAAGCTGAAAGATTAAGTAAGAATTCCCAAAAAGAGATAAGGAATTTTCTTATAGATATTAAAAACAAGATATGTTAGAGAAATGGAAGTCTACAGAATCAAATGAAGTTCATGAAATTTATTAAAACTTTATTTTACCATCAGTCTCTCATAACACTGAAATTTTCTATTGAGTCCTTCCATATTAACCAAATTCAATAACAAGTTAAGCCATATATATATATACATATATATATATATATATGATATGTGTGTATTTATGTGCATATGTGTGAATGCATGTATATCAATCACTTGTCTCTGGTAAATTATTTACTTTGCTAGCAACTTATCTGCTCAAAACAAAAGCCAAAATGCTGTAAAATCAAGAAAATATGTGCTTACTCTATAATTTTGTCACAAAAACAAAAGAAACACAACAGGTGCCTATTTCATCAACAGCTGTAATGTGTAATTTGTTCTTAATTACTTTCTCATGTAGTTTCATAATGTTACTTCAGCTAAGGAATACTTTCTAAAAATTATTTTCAATGATTCTCTTCCTCAGTCCCTTGGAAAGGTGATGTCTAGTCTCAAACCTAATATAGATGACATTTTGTGCTGCTAAAGGAACTGAGAAAATTCAACAAAACAACTGTCTTTTTTTATATTTAGTGGAATACTCAAGGCATAAGCAAGGCTGTAAGTAAAAACACTAATAAGCCCAACGGAGCACAGCTGCTACTGTAATCAGGGACTGCAATTTGCAATTGCTGTAACATAGCTTACCTGTTCGTTTTTGCAGAGCCACACGCTGTTTCCACTTAACACAGTAAAAATTTTGGCTTTATACCCTCTCAATTCAAGATATCCACATTTCTCAGGGGCAGCAACTGCTTGAGACTGCGACGAGGGGGACTGCGATTTCAGTGCATTCAGTAGTATGCTGACCCAGTCATTTCTCTCCTCTGAAAATAAAGATGGGGACAAAATACATGTATCCATACTTACATACATTATACACACATAGGAACAGGGACCGGGAATCTACTCTCTCTACAACAGATAATGCAAAGATTCTTTCCCACAAGTGCACTGTGCATGCTGTTGTGGGCAGGGCCAATAGTCAATTCTGTAAGGAAAAGCAAATAACAAACACTACTCAGTTGTCCTACACCCAGTGACACCGGCTCCGCCTTGGAGCTTGTCAGAAATGCACAATCTCAGACCCACCCCCAGACATGATGAATAAGAATCTTCCTTTTAGCCCGGCCGGCGTGGCTCAGTGGTTGAACATCGGCCTATGAAACAGAAGGTCACGGTTCAATTCCCAGTCAGGGCACATGCCCAGGTTGTGGGCTCGATCCCCAGTGTGGGAGCTTTCAGGAAGCAGCCGATCAATGATTCTCTCTCATCATTGATGTTTCTATCTCTCTCCCCTCTCCCTTCCTCTCTGAAATCAATAAAAATATATTTATTAAAAAAGTAATAATCTTCCTTCTAACAAAGTCCCCAGGTGACCTGTATCCATGTTCATGTTTAAGAAGCACTCTTTTAGATTATTTGTGAGATTGATTTTTTTTCTTTTAATAGATTTTAGAGCATCTTTTCTTCTTCTTGAATAATTTCACCTGCATCCGCTGCTACAAGTCTTTCCAATAACAAATATTTATTGAGTGTCTATGCACCATTCCTTCTGAGAACATGCTCTGACGTAGATATGGCCCTGCTCAAAGTAGAATATTTTGACGGGAGAAAGACAAAAGGGGGATGAGAGAGAAGAGGAGAGGAAACAAATTGCCATTTGTAATTAAGCTGGAATGTAAGTAAAGTTAACAGGAATTCCCTCAAACCTCAAATTAGTTCTTGAGGTGTTCAGGAGTGCCCACTATGGTATACTACTCAGAAAAGGAAGTTATTCAAACACTCAACAGGAAGAGACTTAATATTCTCCAGACTACCGGACTTAGTAGTAGGCATAAATATTAACAACAAAGAATGTATTACACTA